AAACTATAGTCATGGTCTTCTTCAATCTCTCAAAGGCATGAGTAGATATTTTCCCCCCACAAGAAGATGTCCTTCTTCAGATGTCTGTCAGAGGCCAAGCAATGGTGTTGTATCCCCTCACGAATATCCTGTAGTACCCTGTCAATCCTAGGAATCCCCTTAGCTCCCTCAAGTTCCTAGATAGAGGCCACTTAAGCATGGCATCGATCTTGGCCTTATCAACGGCAACCCCTTCCTGGTATACCACATGCCCTAAGTACTCCACACTCGTATGTACAAAACAGCCCTTCTTCATATTGGCCCTCAATTGATGCTCATGTAACACCCCTAAGACCTCCCTTAGATGTTCCAAATGCTCCTCACTGGACTAGCTATACAGCAAAATATCATCAAAGAACACCAGAACAAACTTCCTGAGGTAAGATCGAAACACCTTGTTCATGAGGGACTAGAAGGTAGCATGTGCCTTGGTGAGACCAAAGGGCGTCACCAAGAACTCATAGTGTCTTTCGTGTCTTGAAAACTATCTTTGGAGCATCTTCCTCTCTCATCCGGATCTGATGATATCCAGACTTCAAGTTCACCTCGTGAATACCGTCACTCCACAAAGCTCATCTAGTAGATCATCTATCACTGGAATAGGAAACTTGTCTGGCACAGTCTCCTTATTCAGGGCCTAGTAGTCCATACAAAATCGCCAGCTTCCATCCTTATTTTGAACTAGTAGAATTGGGCTAGAGAAAGGGCTCACGCTAGGTTTGATGATCCCAACCTCCAACATCTCTTGGATCAACCTTATAATCTCATCCTTTTGGATTTGACCCCCTTCCTCAGCATGATGGCATGCTCCTGTCCCCTCTGTGATGGCAATCCTTGAAGTGGGTGAAAAATCTCACATAATTGTTGTATAACTAGATGTACTAAAAGAGGGATGTCCCCTCCTTCCTCTTCTCTAATCCCTTGTCTGTTATTTCTCCTCTCACCTTCATAGTGTAATTCAGAGTGAATCCCACCATCGAGTTCAGGGATACCTCAGCCATGTCTTAGTCAGCTTTTCCTCCATCGATGCCTCATTCCAACCTCCCTCCTCAGCTTCCTTGTCATCACACACAATGAGAACCTGAAGAGCTCGATCCTTATACATATGCCCCAGTGTGTGTGCTTCTAAGCGCATCTGAAATATAACCCATTTTCCCTCTTATCTTGCACCTCTACCTCTATGATTCGCCCAACCCACCGCGGGGCAAACTCCACCGCTCTTCTCCCTATAAGCTTCTCTATGGAAGAATATTGTTTGGGCTTTGTGAGCTAAAGTTGTAAGTATACTCTGATAGGCCCCTCCCTTGGTGTTGCTTATGATGGCATTCTCCCTCTTGTATTTTTCCTTCCTCCACCCTCAGAGCCAACTCCATCTCTCTCAGCCCCCTAAGCCTCAATACCCTGAGTTCTGCCTGTATATCCTCCCTAAGCCCTTTCATGAAATTCCCCTTCAGCCCTTCCTTAGAGATTCCCCTCATTCTCTCCCTGCTAGCAACTCAAACTTCTCCCGACGCTCCATAATTGTCCCCTCTTGAGTTAGGGAAAATAACTGCTCATGGAGGTCCCCTTCTCGGATAGCTCGGAAACGTTCCAACAAGCATTCCTTAAATTCTCCTCATGAGTAGATCGGATATCTCGCCTTCCTTCACTGGAATCAAGCGAAAGCTTTCCCTTCCAAACATAGACCCGTCGCCATGAGTTTCTCTCCTTCAGTCAGCCCATTAATAACAAAATAACATTCCACCTGGTACATCCAACCTTGAGCATCCTCCCCTTCAAAGATCAGCAACTTTAACTTCCATGCCCTCGCATCCATACCCTATTGGTTTCTTCCCCCATTAGTTTCCTCAGTATAGTGGTAATGTGATTCCTTCCTATCTCCCTTGGTTGATTTTAACCACGTGCCCCCCCCCCCAACAAACACCGTGCCAATCCCCGTTCCGCCTCTCCCCATGCCCGAATAATCTCTCAGAAGGATCAGCTTCCATCCTCCTTGTTGTCCTCCCTTCAGAATAACCCGATTCACCCACCAAAGGGGCTCCATGTGGCGGTCCTTGATGAAAAATACTATGCAATTCATCGTCGTCCTCCTGTGTCTCTTTTCCTCGTCATTCCACCATAGTAATCGTCGGTGATGCTTTTGATTGCATCTTAAGCATATTTTTCATCATCTCTTCAAAGTTCCCAAAACGGTTCTCGATGGCAAAGAGTCTTCCCTCCACCCCGAAATATTTCTCCTCTACTCTGGCCTTGAATTGTTCCATCTCGCTCTCCAACACATCCATCTTATTTGCTTCCATGAATTAGATCTAGGTTTTAATTGTAAAAAACAGTGAGGAAAACTTGTATTTCTGCCCAAGAAAAAGCTCTAAACTAATTTGATAGGAAACAAATGCAGAAATTGAATAAATCTTGGTTGAAATTTGAAATTTCAGCAAGATTCAAGCAGAATTTTGAGATAAATCCCTAGGAAAAATACTAGGGAACTTGATAATTGGTAAAAACGAAGAAGAAAACAAACAATATACAATGGATCTTCAATTCGAGAGGAAGATCCCACTCTTCAAATTCCTAGCCAATCATTAAAGCCCAAACACCTAAGAGAAAATTCAGAAATCAGCAAACACCTCACATAACAATAACCCTCATTCCTTATCTATTTAGAGAATAAACATAAAAGCATAATTACTAAACAGCGCATCCCTGAATAATTTACCTCCTAAACTGCCCCCCCCCCTCCTATTTGAATTTTCCATCAATGCATGGGCCCCACAAGGGGGGCCGACTACTCCTTGTTCCTCCTTGAATAGACCACGAGCCGACCCTAGTGTTGGGCCTGCTGAATCGGTCAATCCTGGATCGCTCTATCATTCTCTTCACCTTCAACGTTGATTTCCAAGAGCAAAAAAAGCCAACAAGAGGAATCAAATCCATGAAGCTCTTCTTGGCTAGTCAACAAATCAAGACACATGGGTGGACCAATGAGAGAGCACTAAGAAGAAACTAATAAACCTAGAATAGGTTTAGCCAAATGAAGACATAAAAGAACATTTAAACCCACAGAGGTAGGCCAAGCTTAGAAAGTAAGCATACCAACTTGGGTAGACTTACCTTACTAAATGTGGCTAGACCAAGTTGTAATAAATAATTCTTGGTTCGTTATATGAAAAATGCATGGATGCATGACAAGCAAAAAGAAGTCATAAAATAAGTTAAAACCCCACGTTTTCTCCCTTCTCTACCATCATGGCCAACCATTGTATTAAAATAATATCTCCATTTAAGTATTATTTTATAAATCTTCTATTAATAAAATATTAAAGCGGGTAAACAAAGAGGATTAAAAGAAAGGAAAATTAGTTTAATGCCTGAATTAATTTTAGATTTAAATGTGAAATAAGATTTTTTTAAAGTTTATAAATAGACTCTCTTTTAATTGCTTTTTAGAATTATTTTTGAATTCCTCCCATGCACTCTCCACTAGAAGTGGTTGGCCTCTCGGACTCTCTTTAGAAAATTACTTCTGGTCCACCACTCAGTCTCTCCCCAGAAGCTCGTTCTCTCTTGATCCTCTATACCTGAAAAGGAAGTTCTTTGGGAATATAATTTCCAAGTTAAAAAAATGAGAAGAGCTGAACTAGAAGAAAAAGATGAGCAATCGACAAAGCAGAAAGCAAGAAGGGCAGGAAATCATCTACAATAAAGGTATATCTCAAATGATCTAATATAATCTTCCTACCCTAATTATCATCATACCCTCTCTCAAATTATCTGAACCCTAACATGGTTGGACCATCAAGAACAACATAGTACTGGTTGAATCTTAAATGGTCTCAAAAACTAAAGACCGTCAAGCTATAGACAAACCCACAATTTGTTAGCATATTAAAAAGGAAACTTGGTGCATCAACCTCCTACTAAATAAGGATCCAAGGAGGTTTGATGTGCTTGTCCTTACCTTGTATGTGTAGGATGGTCATTTCCATGAGTAAAAGCCGAAGACCTCTGTCACATGCTTCAACATATAATCATTTGAATTGCTAGCTTCTGCATACTATCAGATTGTTCCATTACACAAACACTTCATATCAATGTTTAAAATTGCGTATTCGGGTATTGAGGCGTTTTTCGTTCGTGAGGCGAGGCGTAAGCCTCAAGGTGTTTTGAGGCGTAAGCCTCAAAATCAAAAGATTGCGTAAACATAAAATGATAAATTTTTTATATACTAATGAGTGAATAATATAAAACATAAAAAAGCATAAGAAATGAAGTGAAATCAAAATATCTCAATAATAAGACAACATAAAATATAGTTCAACTCAAAATTCTATCTTTTCCAAATCCCAGTATTCTTTTCATTAACATATAATTCCAATTTCCAAAATAAATAGCAATGACATATCACATAAGAACTCATAAGTCATCAGCACTGTCATCACTAAGGGGTTCTTCATTTGAATCATCATTATGGTGAACTGCTCTCTCCCCTTCCTCCTCTCCTATAGAGTCCAATGTCGGGCATTTACTTCAAGATTTATGTAAGTTTTAATATATATAGCGTGAGGCATAAGCCTCAAGCCAGTGAGGCGAGGAGGGCCTTAACCAAGTTGAGGCGCAAGCCTCATAAAAAAACTCGAGGCGCAAGCATCGAGGCGTTTTTTACTGGAATTGCGCAAAGGCGGGCCTCAAGGCGAGCCTCATATTGCGCAATTTTAAACCATGCTTCATATGCTGAAGCACAATCTCTTAACTTGATTGAATGTTTACTACATTTATTCTCTAGGTATACAAAGAAATTACAGCATTGAAGCGTTTGACATACTTTCACTACTTGGATCATCATTAGATTTACATGAACACTAGTGGCTAAAAATAAAGAATCTAGGACAAAGAAAGTTTAGATCCAGTATATCATGCATGCTGACAATGGTAATGCTGGTTTTAGCAAAAGATAAACTTACCTGTTTCCCGGCAAGATTATGCATCCTGCCCTCGGAAATAATTTTTTCAACAGGTTCCTCATTTTCAAAGGTGATAAAGCCAAAGCCTCGAGAACGCCCAGTGCTGTGATCCACCATTATTTGATGCTCAACCACTACTCCGTAGGAGGAGAAGTGCTCCTTGAACTCATCTGCAATGTTAAAAAGCTGATGTGATTACCAACTGATTAATCAGATAGTATAAAATTGTAACAATTACCTTCTGTCAAAGCTGTGGGTATTCCTCCCACAAAGATTTTCTTGCTCTTAGGACCTCCTTTTGGTGGCATATCCTCCCTTGGAACTGTTCTCTTGACTTCAACCTGAAATTAAAAATAAAAAGTATCCGAATAATTCAATCCAACATGTTGTCATAACAAAATATATTCTGTAGTTTGAAGTAATATGGTCCTATGGTCCTACCACCCGCCCATCAATAGAATGCTCCTCTTCCAAAATCTTATCAAGGACAGTTGGATCAGCAAATGTAACGAATCCAAAACCTCTAGGCATCTGGGTGTGCTTATCCTTCATTATAACAGAATCAATAATCATCCCATACTTCGCAAAGTGATTGGTGAATGTCTCTGAAATTGCAAAGAAGAATGATTAACAATAGAAGAGCTATTCGAGAATGCACCAAAAGAAGAAATATCCTAAAACGAGTAAAAGATGCTATAAAAATCAAATGAACATGGATGTGCAAATGTAAACACCATCTTTGAGAACATTGCATTTCAACTGTTTCCTTCATCATCTCAGTGCAGTAACACTATGGAGCAAAAAAAAATTAATGGAGGGCATGCAGGTGATATTACATATATTGCTGTCTTTGATCATAAAATAAAACCATAAAGAAATAAATTCATAACATTTTTTTGTTGATTTCTACTAATCAATAGTGAATATCAATATACTTATCTAACAAAAACTAATAATAATAATAATAATGCAATCCATAGAACCAAAGCACTTAGTAAACCAGCTAATTAACTGCACAAATTAAAAGTGAATATCATCCTCAGCCTTCCCACACGTGGCATCTTGAAAACGCCAGCCTCATGAATCAATTGTGTCTGAGGTTCAACTTGATCCGAAATCAACCGAACATCATAATAAAGATGTATCACGATGCCAAATTAATCCAAGAATAATGATGATGTAAAATGCTATAGAAAAAATAGGATTGCATGCCACCTAGGTTTTATGGAGAACCTAAGGCAACTACGCAAGAAACTAAAAACTGTGACATCTTGAATTCAGGGTACGTAAGGAATTCAAAGCTTAAATGCACACATAATTAGGGCTTCTTCGAAAGATTCAACAAAAAGAACAACAATATCAAGCTTTTATCTCACTACATAGGAACAGCTACATGAATCTTTTTTCTCCATTGTGTCCTATTAAGAGACAAATTCACATTAAATCTAAAAAAGAAAGGTCATTTATAATATTTTCTAACCAAGTATTTTTTAGGTCTACCTCTACCTTTCTTAATATAAACCAAATCTAATACATCTACTTTCCTAACCGAGTCAACAGAAGGCCACCATTTTATGTGACCAAGCGATCTAAGGCAACTCTCTTTAATCTTATCATCCACTGGAGCTACTCCAACCTTTTCACGTAAATGCTCATTTTGTATCTTGTCTTCAAGAGTAAAGCCACTCATCCACCTGAGCATCCTCACCTCTGCAACAGTTAACTCTCTGTTTAAAATTGCGCAATAAGAGGCGCGCCTCTGTGCAATTTGACCCAAAACCGCCTCAAGGCTTACGCAATTCCTCTCCTGGCAGAGGCGTACGCCTCACTTGGACTGAGGCGCGCCTCAGAGGCGCAATTGCGCAATTCTGGCTGAGGCGTACGCCTCAAATATATGCTCAAAACCGCTCAGTATATGCTCGGTACCGCTCAGTATATGCTCGGTACCGCTCAGTATATGCTCGGTACCGCTTAGTATATGCTTGGTACTGCTAGGTACATGCTCGGTATCGCTTAGTATATGCTCGGTACAGCTAGGTATTTGCTCGGTACTGTTAGGTACATGCTCGTGCCTTAGGTACATGCTCGGTACTGCTAAGGAACATGCTCGATACCACTCGGTTTCTTCCCATAAAAATAATAGGTCGAACCCCGCCAGGGGGCAGCGCCCCCTTGGACCCCCGACAGTCCAGCATATTATTCTATTCATCATCTTTAGTAATAGTTGTTAGTGTTAGTTTACTTCTTCATGAGTGCATGTTTTGATTGGAAGACATTGGACTTTATAGGAGGGAGGAAGGGGTGAGAAGATTCCCTTGAAGACCCATTTAATGATGGGACATGATTAGATTATATATGTTCTTTCTTAATTATACTTTGGGAGTTTTGATAAACTAATATTTTATGATTTTGTACTTTGGGACATGATTTTATTGCATCTATTTTCTTACTTTCCCCTAATTTTAATTGTCATTTAGATGTTTTTATTGTATGATAGAATCTTACTATTTTTTACTTGCTAAACCCCTTAAATTCTCATTTACGCAATTCTTCGTCGGTGAGGCTTACGCCTCACACCGCCTCGAGGCTTACGCCTCGCCTTACGGACGAAAAACGTCTCGAGGCTTATTTACGCAATTTTAAACCTTGAGTTAACTTAATATTATGCTTCTCTTTTAATGGCCAACATTCTGCACCATAAAGAATTGCAGGTCTCACTACCATGTTATAAAATTTTCCCTTAAGTTTGAGAGGGACTTTTCTATCACACAACAACCCCGATGCATTCCTCCACTCTAACCATCCAACTTGAATTCTACTAATAATATCCCCATCTATTTTACCATCACTCTGAACAATAGACCCAAGATATCTAAAACGAGTGCTCTTATTAATGACTTGATCGCCAAAGTCACAATCCCCCCACTAAATCTATTATTACTAAAATTACACTTCATATATTCAGTTTTTGATCCACTCAAACGAAAGCCTTTAGACTCTAAGGTTGACCTCCATAATTCAAGTTCACCTTCAACTCCATCTCTAATCTTATTAACAAGAAAAATATCATCAGCAAAAAGCATACACCAAGGTACAACCTCTTGCAAATGTATAGTGGGAACATCCATCACTAAAGAAAAAAGATATGGGCTTAAGGTTGATCCTTGATGTATCCATTCTATAGATATGGGCCCAGCCTACTCAATCAAATGTGAAAAAAAAAAGAGATATGAAGAGATGGGTAAAAATTATCACCTAAAATTGAGGAAAGAGATATTTCAAGGATTTTTACCTTGAGAACCAATTCGCCTACATTGGGATTTATTTCAAATGGCTTGGAGACATGCCTTTGGGTGAGAGCAACTCATTATCAAGTGAAAGGTGATTTACAAAAAAAAATAAACAAGAGCGATAGGGAGAAATCACAAGAAAGAGAAAATAATGCCACTCGGATTGAATTGTATTATATTGATTTTATATCCAAGATACAAATTAAATTTATAAACATCTAAACTTTTTAATTAAAAAAAAAAGAAATTCAAATCTAGCTTAAAAGTGAATTACTTCAAAATATCAATTAAAAAATTATAATTCCCATCAATTAAAAAATTTAAATCCATCACTTTCATTGGTGGTAAAATTCTACATGCATTGCATAGATTGCAGATACAATTTTGGCTCATTAAAATTTCCTACATTCTTAATTATAACTTTAAAATTCCTCCTTGATGAGTTTGCACGAAATCATCTGTAAATTGACTATCTTTTACTAAATTAGCATGAATTGAGGTCCCAAATTGATAATATTGATCCCCTGTTTTAAACTTGCCTTGAGTCCATTGGCCTTTATTTGACATGGGTAAATCACAAAATTATTAGCTTGCCAAATTCAATCCAAGATGGCTTGAATTAAGGTTTGAAACAGGGGACCAATATTAATAGATAACAGCTCCTAAACTTATTCCCCCACCCTCCCACATTAAAATAGCATTAGTTAGAAAGCAAATAAAATTTGTCGTAGACCGGTCAAAAATGTGCTCAGCCCAAAAAATATTGAAGTTAACTTTGTTGGTTGTGTAGCCTACCCATGAAGCATTAATTAGACCATTAAATATGTCCAACCCAACTTCATAGATATCAACATTAATGATTCAATTATAGTAGCCACTCCTACGATTGAAGTTGATCAATTTTTTTAAAATAGCCAATCTAATAATAAGATTAGCCCAAAGCAATTCCACAATAAGTATAGATGAGCACAAGTTGAAGCGAAGTGGAACATATCCTTCTAGCAATGAATTAGAACCCAACATCTAGTGTGAATGACCTATTATGAAAAATTGTCAAGAATGATTGATAATCATTATAAACATTCATTAGTATCCCATGAGTTCTTGTGTCTTGATCCTATTAGATATGATCCCTCCTAATAAGAATTTTGCAGTTACAATAAAGGATTGGTAAAAAATTTCACCTATTTGCCCCTAATTAGAAATTGTCTTCTCCTAATGTTGATCAATTCTATTATTGAAACTTTTAATGCCTCTTCATCTCTTATTTTTTAATGGTTCAACCGAATTTTCCATCAAATAATGTCAATCCTCTAGAGCGCTCACTAGGTATTATATTAATTACTTGAGCTCTTGAATGACCTAATTAATTTAACATTTGGAGTAATTGTACTCTTTGAGAACAATTTGAAGTGGTTAACAAATTACGTGAGCAAGCCTCACCGTTGTCTTATTAGTCTCCATCCATTCTTCTTAGGTCTAAAATTAGCCTAGCCTCTCATCAATTATTTCTTTCACCTAGATTATCCAAGATATTCTAAAAGTGAAACTAAAACTCAAACACTAATATGTATCTAAATCAATCTAACCCCAAAATTTATATGTATCACAACGATAAGATGATCTAATAATATTGATGAAATTATGATGGAAAATGGTATGAAATTGATAGAATTTTAAAGCGCTTAGTGTTCTTTGGAGAAGGGATGTTTTTTTCTATGCAAAAAATCAAGAACTAGGGTTTCATGAAGTTAAGATTTCTAATTTACACCTACATAAAAGGTTTTCAAGCAAGTATGGTTAAGGTTTTCGAGAAAAGTTAAAAAGCTAGAATCTCCTTACAAAACAATCAAGAAGCATAAATGAACAATGAAAGATAAGATCAAGGTAATAGATCAAACTTATGATAAAATTAGTCTTCCTCTTACCTTAATTAGGGTTTTCCAAGTAAATAATAAAAGAAAAATTTATAAATATCTAACTCCCTAAACAATAACAACAACATCATCATCATCATCATGCCTTTATCCCACTATGTGGGGTCGACTACATGAATCTTGTTTCTCCATTATATTCTACTAAGAGCAAAATTCTCATTTAAATCTAATAAAAAATATCATTTTCAATACTTTCTAACCAACTCATGTTAGGTCTACATCTACCTTTTTTAATATAGAACATATCTAATACATCTACTCTCCTAAGTAGGCCATCCAAAGACGCTTCATGTGACCAAACCATCTAAGGAGACTCTCCCTAATCTTATCTGCCACTGAGCTACTCCAACCTTTTTATCTATATACTCGTTTCACATT